CGCAACCCTTCCTTGCTCCTGATTGCTGAAGGCGCCATTTAAGCAGATCACGGCTCTATAATATTTGGATTAGATTATGTCTTGAGGAATTATGCGACAGTTAATATACGATGGCGTAAGAGCTCATGTTTTTTACGTTTACGCGGTTGCTTGTAAAAAGAACTAGTTTCGGCAATTCTCTCTACTAACAAATAGATTGTGAAGATGTAAGATAATGCACTGCAACTGCTCAGTTATCACAGAACCGTTTCCCACTAACTCGTCCCCTCCCCAGACATCTAGAATGGGATGGTGCAAAGGATGGGGCTTTTAACGAGTTATGCGCCGGTTAACATGCTGCAGTGTACAAACCTATGTTAAGATGTCAGTTTTGTGACGCCAGAAATTGCATAGGGATTAGTCTCCTTTGCGAAACTTTGATGTCTTCGATGCAGTTATCTCCAGCAGTATCCGGCATTGCGAGGGAAGGCACCTGAGAGAAACAAAACAAATCACGACCGACAATATTTTAACATTTTCCATTTTATGCTGGAAACCGAGGTTCGACGTCCCATGCCATTGTTAGTCAGCTCTACCGACTTTGAGATAAGCCCTTGATTCTTCAGAATGCAGATTTCTGTACGGACTTCTGAGGAATGATGTGTAACACGAAAATTGTTATCAGAATATTACAGCAGCAGTTCAGAAAAGTAGAAAGATCTCAGACAGCATTGCGATCATCACGAAGAATACAAGGATACGTTATCTTTCCAGTACTATGCAGTTACTGCATCGACTCTTCGATGACGGAAGCAGTTACTAGCTGTGTTGACCTCCAGCAGGACGTCGACTACACAGGATCAGGACCGTATACGTCGATGAACGCCATCATTGCAACAAAGTCAGAACAACTTCAGATGGTGTTAACGACCATAGAACTGGCCAGACAACGAACGGGTGGAGACTAAAGTCATCGAGCTTCATTCGCGTATGTCTTATACGAATCAATACATAAGGATCTTCTGACAATGTATGGAGCATATAAAGAAGTTCTGTTATGCCTGATATATGATCACAGCGACTGAAGACATGCTAGAGATGTTCAAGAAGAAGCCAAGATGGTCTGAACCTACTGCACCTTGCTGCCACAAACATTGAGTTAAGTTGTGCCGTCTGTACTTTTGTAACTTCTGTATACCCCTGATGATCATCTGATCCCTATCATGCCGCAGGATCATGGATTCTTACCAAAAATAGGTTAATAAAGCTAACGTCTTGTAATATATATTGAGCGGTCTTGCTGACGTTGAAAATCGGGCTAGAGACTTCTTAAGGTTACGAATACTAAACTGCTCGAATTTGAGAAACCTCCCAGAAAGTGAATATTCAGCTTAAAGAACAGTTGTTGCAGCTCTCCTCAAACAGGCTGATTATTCTGGTATTGTGCAGCGTGCCTTGTTGAGGTGGAATGGGACGTTTCGGCGCCGATGAATAGTCGTTATCAACGTGCAGTGCATTTGATTGTATATGATTCTATAAGATCGGACTGTGGTCGTCTCGTTCAACTGTAAAATCCAATCCAGCAAGTTGCATATCTATGAGAACCTCTCCGTGAGCACAATGTGAAACTTCTGTCAAACTAATGAATTTCTAAGATGCTGTGATTTATTTTGACTCCATTTTTCGACCTTCGAGAACTGGATAATATCCAGTATCCAGTAAAGTTGAAAAAATATCGGAATGTGGACGAGAGGATAATAGCCATTGCCAGTGACTATCATAACAGTGATATTATTACTTATTTTATGGCTTAGCGCATAACTACGAAATGGCGCAGTGATATATATTACACATAAAACTGTACTCTATGAATAAAGTTACTTTGTGCTTGCAAACTTCTTCCATGAAAAGTTGACTTTAAGCTAAATTATGTTCACAAATTTAAATTTTGTAAAATAATTGGGCAATTTGACAGCTAACTTCACAGACGTTTTGGTATTGTACTTACAGAGATATCAATATCTAAATGATGAATGTCTGCTGAAGGACGAATTTTTAGAATCTTAGAAATTCATTAGTTTGAGAGATGTTTCACATTGTGCTCACGGAGACCCCATAGATGTATAATCTGCTGGGTTGAATATGGCTGTTTATCGAAATGACCACAGTTCAATCATGTAGAATCGTCTCACGCAGAAACTGCCCACGCCGAATCGACGCATCAAATTGTCAAAGACTGTTTCTGAGGGTTATTCCTTCAGTCATATGAATGTGTTTTTTAATCAATGAGTATTAGTCAAGGTTTTTTATAATAAAAAAAAGTTTCCTCGTATTTTGGCGATGAAACATCGTATGTTAAATGAATAATCATCTTCTCTAGAGTCAAATGAAAGCTGGGGTGCTATCACGAACTTGATATAAAGATTTGGAGCAATGAAATCAGTGGTTAGAGTAAACCCCAAAATTTAAAGTTATGAATTTGTTGGTGCGGTACTAATCTGGCACTTACTTTAAATTGATATATTTTTGTGTACGTAAGGCGGCTTGCTGCTTGCCACACCTGTTTGACCCTGACTTCTGGCGCAGCGAAACGTTGACTATAAAGTGTTAACATCTGCGTTGTTCGGTGGTCTCAACCATGAATAGCAAACCATATGCGATATAAGTTTTCCTTCTGATCGATTAAAGAAATTGAATTTCCTTGTCTTCGGTAACACACTGGGAAGAAACAGTAAGAGGCTGATCAAAATAATGGTTCATAGTGTTTCTTCTCAGCGATGTTACGTTAGGACGATAGGCTGTCAAAATAGTCACGGCTTAAATTTATCACAGATGAATTGACAACGACGTAGCTGGACAATGTTTATCGGCAAATCGCAAATCAAGCCTAGAATGCAGATGCTGTTATCACAGGCATTGCGTAGGCCAAAAAGGAATTTGCAAAACAAAACAAAACTGTCTGCCGCATCCGGAACAACTTATTGCGCTTACAGCTTGATGTGCATTAATGAATCTGCCTGAAGAATCGTTCGACATAGCTTGCGGATTCGAGCGAGGTTAAAAACGGTCCAGTATGTTTTTACTACATACAAGATTGAAGGTGTTTGCGCTCATTAATATGTGAAAAATTAACGAAGTTTTTCATAATTTTCTGATTTAGGTTTTTAGCGATTTTTACGAATTTAAGCATGCCGTGAAGCTGGTTAGTAACATTAGTTTTGACACGGATGTTGTGGTTTCGGTGTTCGAAACAAATATTCGGGTTGTTGGAGGACTTCTGAGCGGTCACCTACTCGCCAAAATTTTGCAAAGCGAAATTCCTGAGAATTTTGAGTGGTACAATGACCAACTGCTTCAGAAAGCGAAGGATGTCGCTTCGAGGTTGCTACCCGCTTTCAACACGACGACAGGCATACCATATCCGCGGGTGAGTGTTTTCAAGTGAATACAACATAATTACGCTTATATATGTAGGTGAACTTAAAGTATGGCCTGGACGGCAATGCACATAATCTCAGGTATCAGGAAGACACTTGCACGGCGTGTGCTGGGACGATGATTTTGGAATTTGCTGCCCTAAGCCGCTTGACCAACGATCCTGTGTTCGAACAGAAAGCGAGGACTGCTATGGATGTCATATGGAAACAGCGTAATCGATTCAGCGATCTGGTTGGCTCAGTGCTGAACGTGCATAGCGGCGACTGGATACAGCGAGGTATTATCGATAGTTGATTCAATGGCTGATGCTTGCTTTTAGATAGTGGCGTTGGCGCTGGAATCGATTCGTATTACGAGTACTGTCTGAAGGCGTACGTCCTATTAGGCGACGACAAGTTTCTCTATCGCTTCAATACGGTAATAATTGATTATTGTAGATGGTGTTGATAACCTGTTTGAGGAGACAAGGTTTGACTGTGCACGATGTAAGTTCTATTATCTGACAGTTCCCGTGAACAAGGATTCATTATACTACGGCCCACGCTAGATACACATACTTCAGACGCATTGCCGGTGTAGCGACAGGATAGGACAGCAACGCATAGAACCATCTTCATCTTCCATCGCCGCTTCTCCTTTCGGGTCGCGGAAGCAGACACGTCAGAGAGAGCTTCCAACGTTCCCGATCCTGTGCCAGAGTCTGAGCTACGGCAAAAGACAAATGGAGTCTGGAACAGACTCTTTACATATGTTTGCACCAGGTTAATCTTGGCCGTCCA